GACGTTGGATTACTGTGAATGCTTTAAACATAATATATATAGGCAACAGAATCCCAACAGTCTGAAGAATAGTAACTGCAAAACAAAGAACATATTTATATAATGATCTATAACCAATGTGGTTGTCTGCACGGCTGCACCATATTATCTAATGGGAAAATAGGAATGAGCCACCAGCCTCACCATAAACAATGTAAACGAGTAATCACCGCTTCCATTGATTACAATCGGAAGGGTGTGGCGAAGTACAAGAAGAGCAATAAACTGCAGACAAAGATGTGGATCAATTAATAATATGGCAATAAAACTACAAACCCAACAAACCTTAAACGAATCTTGGAAGAAAGAATCAGCAATGAGAAGTAGACTTTGCTGTTCAACTTAGTAAGAAAAATTTAACTGATTACCAAAATCTTTACTAAGAACTTGTTATAAGCATTTCTTTTTAACAAAGCATGACTCAAATAATTGAAACTCAATTGGATCAGTTTTAGCTATTAAATCTGCTAAAATCTTATAACTGGAATTCCAACTAAAAAGTAAAAATTAGAGACTTGATATGAGAGCGAAGAAAATAGTTAGACATGTTAGGGTGTCTTGCATAAGTACATAAGTTTAGCTATGACTAATATAAATGTTTATGTGGACGAGAGAAAGGGATTTTACAATTATAGCTATAATTCGGCAGCATATCAGACTTCTTGAATTGGAAGGTGAAAAGTCCTCGAAGTCAGAATCCGGAAAATCTTGATCAGAAGTGACCATTGCTATAAATCTAGAATTGTGAAGATCTCCTCTAGATATCTCCCAATTTCCTCTAAGATAAAAACTCCAGAAATAGTTTAGCTCTCTTTATCTTATAGTAAATGAAGTGAAAAAGATGTATACGCTAAAAGTTGAAAATTGAGAATGAGAATCTGTTTCCAGAGCCAAAAGTGTATACCTGAAATTCATTGGGATGCCACTATAATGAAACAGAGGAGGAGGTGCTGTATAACCAGGTTTAAATGGCTTCAAATTTTCAAATAGTTAATTGTGAGAAACAAAATGTTTTCTTCCAGTTAGATAAGACCAAGACTGTAATTATACATATACCTGATGACAAATTTCACATATAGTATCGCCTTTTACATTGCACCACCTCTGGATACATTTACGGTGAGCATACTGCAACAAACAACAAACCATCAAGGAACTCTTGGAGAAACAAAAATCAATTGAGAAAATGGATGGGAGGACAAAAGTTCAGTTGTTACCAATGCCTAATATCAATGGCATTTGAGGTTTAACAGGTTAACAAAGCAACATAGCAGTGTAGATAATATAGCATTACATATCACTAAATTCCTTACAATTAATGTCATTCTACTGTCCAGAACTTTGCTGATAATGAAGCACCCTATGCTACTCAGAGAGTGAATCACTTCTAAGACATGCAATAGCTCAATTCTTCAAGCTTGACTTGCATCAGATACGTTTATATCAAAAAAATGAAGCGATAAATTGAAAGAATAATAGTCATTATCACATTTTGTATTTAGTTCAACACTTGAAATTTCAGGAAAAATTATCAGAAATAAAACAGTACTATGTTGGATGAAAGGATTTGGAAGATAACCAATGTGATTTAGCAGAAACTATGCCATTCTATTCATATTGTGAGCTCTAAATCATAAGTGGAGCATTTTTCTCAAATGATTAGCACACCAAAAGCAACAAAACCATTATCTTTCTAACAATCTCAAGGAAGTTCCTAACAAGAATTAAAGCAAGCTGACCTTCAAGCTACCACAGCAAGAACAAGGCATTTCCATGTTTGAGCTTTCATCCTCATCATGGCAAATCCTACATTGCTCCAATTCTCTCCAAGATGAATCATTATTTTCATCCATTTTACAGAAAGAAAATTCAGTCAGGTTATCTTTGTTTGACAAGGGTGTGACTTGCTCCAATCGGTTTTTGCTCTCAATAGCAGCTTCAAGTGTGGATTCAGTTAACAACCGATCCACCAGCAATACAAAATGATCCCCCATCCTTCAGTTTGCACAAAGAAAATGGTTAATACAGATTAAAACCTAAACTGGTGCCTGTACAATTTGTAATCCTTCACAAAGTACATAGACAAACTAAAAATTTAGTGTCAACTCCATTCATAAAGGGGGGAAAAAGAATGAACCAGTGAAAATGGAAATGCATGAAAGCAATATTACTTTTACCTTTAATATTGCTGGAAGAAGGGATGAATCTGCAATAAAACGAATAAGTGAAGAGTAATAATCTTTCAAATGGAGAATCAGCTGGAACATACATGATGCAAACAAATAAAGTCAATTTTCAAAATTATAAAACCAATTATCTTCATTTCTTTAAAAACAAAAAAAAAAAAGAAAATTCTTATTTTTTGGTATTGAAAACTTTGTTTTGAACCAATTAGCTAAGTTGGTCCAAATCTTGCTTCCTTGGTTGCTCAGGGATATATTATTAAGAAAATCTTGAGAGCTTCCTCTGTTTTACATAATGAAAAAGGAAAAAGGTAAAGCGAAAGAGGAACAGATTGATTAGAAACAAGTATTCAGCAGGAAGAACATTAAACACCTGACTATCACAAGGAAAAGGCTATTACCCATACTATCACAAGGAAAGAGGAACAGATTGATTAGAAACAAGTATTCAGCAGGAAGAACATTAAACACCTAACTATCACAAGAAGAACAAGTAGTTAAATGCAAAACAGGATTCAGGGTCACCAGTCTAAGAGCAACACTCAAGCTGCAAAATCAGAAGGAAAGAAAATTATATAGATATATATATACATATAGTAGGTTGAGAAATGTAAAACAAAAAGGAAGAGAAAAATTAAAGAAAAAGTGCCTATTATCTACAAATAGAATGATATTAATAGATATGCCTTGAAAGCAGAATTCTCAGAAACCAAAAGTCCCCAACCCCACCAAAAAAAAAAAGAACTGGTAGAAAATAAGATCCGTCAACTAAGATAACAAAAAAAATATAAAAAAAAAAAGTTAATAGAAAAGAGAGATTTTATCGAAGAAGGGAACCCAGATTGGCAAAAGGAAAAACCAGAAAGGGGAAGGAAGAATAACCAAAAACCTACTAAATGATAGAGAGAAGAGAAGAGAATAAAAAAACCCCCAAAAGTTAGATTATGAAACTAAGAAATGCAGAGAAAGAAAGAGCCATGTCTAAAAAGCTACCACCTTGACAAAAGAATACACTCTTAGAAGAACAAAAACATGATTAACATGTAAAGAAGCTTTGAATTTAATGAGAAGGAGTGGAGGGGAAGAAGAGACTTACAGTGAAAGGAATGGGATTTTTCTGTTAGGGAAGAAAGCAATGATCTTTTCCTTTCTTACTCGAGTTTCTCTGTTGTATTCTCTGAAAGGAAGCAAGAGATTGAGTACAGACAATGGTCCTCGTCACCAGACTCACCACCCCATTCACCCAATTTCTTTTCCTTGTAATGCAAAAACAGCATATTTTTTACTATATATATATATTATATAATAATATTTGTCTGTATAAAAATGATGATACTTTTTCTCTGTGTTGGTGCAAAATTAAAAGAAGAAGACGAGAGAAAAATAAGGAAGAGAAAAGGGAAGAAGAGGGAGATTCTAACAGCAAAAGCCTACGCACGCGGCCCACGTTAGCCCCCGTGGCTCAAACTCAATTTCACGTTTTTCCAAAAGTTCCGCCACTTTCCTCTTTTGTGCTTATATGGTGATTAGCTTATTATATCTTTTAACTTTTTTAATATTACACTTTTATGCATATTTAATTATTAGATTAATTATGTTATTATTAGTGTATAAATATCATCAAATTATAAAATATATAATTTTTTAATTAAATTTTTTTAATAAATTTTTACATTAATTATTAATTTTAAAGTTTTAAATTCTAAGCTTGTAAACATTATTAATTAATTTAAGTTTTATAGACAAGTTTTTCCTATAAATTAAAGTGATATATTATTAGTATAAATAATTATATATGTAATATCTGTAATTAATTTTAAAAAAATTAAAATTAATATGTAAAATATAATTTTTTTAATTTATGAATTTTATTTAATGTGAAAATTAGAAAAAATAGGTAGAGAATGAAATTGAAAATAATTTTGAAAAAAATTTGTGAAAATTTGGGTTCTATGAATATTTTTGAAAGAAAAATCAAAAATTGAGGGTTAAAACACAATCTAGAAAAAATGTGTCACGTAGGACTGTCGGCAGCCTCGACGAACCGGAGCGCGCCGCGTGGTAAGGCACGATGATCCAGTGCCACGCAGGAGGCCACACTGGCAATCCGCGTGCTCGCGATCGGACGGTACGGAATTATTCTGCGCGCATAGACGGTCCGAATCCATTCCCTCCTCAAACGGACAGTCGAGATCAAATCGCAATAAACGGTCCAGATCAAATTGTGATGAAGGGTTCAGATTCATTTCTTATTTAAACACGATCGGACAGTCGAGATCAAATCGCAATAAACGGTCCATATTTATTTTTTATTTAAATCCGATCGGACGATCAAAATCAAATCGCGATGAATGGTCTAGATTCATTTCATATTTAAATGCGATTGGACGGTCGAGATCAAATACGATAGATGGCCTAGATTAAAGTGAAATGGATATAA